GCAGAGGGAAACTAATGGCACATACGTTGTTTTTAAATCGGGCCAGAATTTATGGGTCCAAATTGCAAAATGCAGTCCAATTGTGCTTGATTGTTCTTCAAGTTCAGCTTATTCCGCCAAAAGATTAAAAAACTACAGCCGAGAAACAAAATGGTAAGCCAAACCTCACGCCCCCAAAGCGTTTTTCGAACTTTTGTGGGGAATTTTTGCGAGGAACAATTGGACTACATTTTGCAATTTGGACCTAAAAATTCTGGCTCATCTGAAAAAACACTTATGTGCATAGGGAAACTAACGTCACATACGTTGTTTTTAAACCGAGCCGGAATTTATAGTTCCTAATTGCAAAATATAGTCCAATTGCGCTTCGCTACAAATATTAAGTACTCCAAATGTTCTTTCGATACCCGAGGAGGGATTTGAAATCGGTCGAACCGTTTTCTTACCTGCGGGCTGATTATTGAAATCGATAGACAAAGCTATAGACAAAGAAGACAAGAGGGATTTGCAGGGATCCTATTGGTGGAAGCAAGAGGTCGCAACGGACAAAGGAGGTAGGTAACAGACTAATTCACGGCAACCTACGAGAGACCCTATAGTAAGTCTACAATTTTCTCCCTTGGTCCATAGCAATCACCAATAGGTAATCAACCAATAGGATCGCTCCATACTCCCAATGTCTTCTTTGTCTGACGCTCTGTGTATCAATTTCAATAATCAGCCCGCAGACGCAAAAAACCGTTTATGGTAAGACAACTTCACGCCCAAAAACCGTTTTTCGAATGCCATCCAAGCGTCTCGCACAATTTTTATGTCCATGCAGTGCGCTATCGCAGCAAAGAAATCATTTTCAAATTCAGTTCGATAAGTGGATTGCATTTTACAAAAAGGAACCACGATCATTGCAATGTTGCTAAGATTGTGCAACTTCTTTTGTCTTGGGAAAAAACCTGATTATCTTTCGACAGTTTCTATTTTACTCGCTGAAAACTGTGAATCTAAGACAAAAATTACCGTGTAAATTTCATACTTTTTCAAGATTTCAGTTATTTTACTGCAAAGGATGAATTTGCACAATCTTAGCATCATTGCAATGCTTCTGGTTCCTTTTTGCGAAATGCAATCCAAGTCTGCTCGGAAGCGATGGTTTTTCTTTTGTTTGGAGTGTGCAGTCTGGAGGACGGAACCGATGCAGTGCGGAACCGAGTGACATTAAAGCAGCGCAGCGTCGAGATGAAAAATGAAAAGCGTCAAGCTTAAGCATCATCATTCACGGATGAGGGCCGGGATCGTGGCCGTCGGAAGGAGGCCAAGAAGAGGCCAAACTGGAGCCAGGCAACTTCTTCATCGCTCATCTTCCATCGGTATCTGAGCGGTGAGCGCTAACGAGGCGACACGCTCGGGCCTCAGTCGGGCCGCCGTTCCACGATTTTACGCACTTCTGCCGGATCACGCGAAAAAACAAAAACAACGAAACATAGAGCAGGAAAAAGTTTAGGAATTGGACGGATTTAGATGGTTATGACGAGCCTGTGAAAAGGACCTTGTCTTACAAAAATCTAAGTTTGGATTATTGGTGGCACTGCATTAAGGAAGAAAATCTGGAAATTTTGGCGTCACTAGAAAAAAAACACATTGAATCTAGAGTCCAGACTCTTGAAAACATTGACAAGAAAAAATATTCTTGATTCAAGCGGATTTTTGCTTGAATCAAAACAAAATCCGCTTAAATTAAGAGGCTTGGCTCTTGATTTAAGCTAGATTCTCATTGAATCAAGAGTACTTTTTCTTGTCAATGTTCTTAAGAGTCTGGGCTCTGGATCCAATGTGTTTTTTTTTTTCCAGTGTATGTTTGACTCTGAAATTTCAACAACTTAGGGAGAATGACGTCTTGAAGCCCCAGGACAAAAATTCTGAAGTCTTAGGTTAAATTTTTACGTCAAAATTCTATGTTTTCAAGTTACGGGCTCTGCAATGCCGCACACTGCACAGAAAAAAAGGGCAGCTAGCACCTTTTATTTGGTGAGATAATTGAACTAAAATCACCCGTAGAGGCTTCTAAAGAGCGTTTTCCGTTGCTGACTCGAAAACGCCGATATTGAAATTTTCCCCTAAAGGCTCTCTCAGAAGGTTTTCTCATATAAGACAAGGTCCCTTTTTACAGATCCTGTCTTCACTTTCAGAAAAAACGGAAGTTGTTGGTGAACTCACAAGTGTAGTTCGACAAATCATTGGGGAAGGAGAGGCAAGAAGCTATTTTCCTCTCACGGGAGTGTGCTCGTATTAGGCGACTTTTTACGATGACACATTTTCTGGGGGAGGGAGCAGGCTCTCTGTCTCCCCGAGGGTTCCTCGGGGAGACAGAGAGCCCCCGGGACACCCCATCTACAGGCCCATGGGTGGGACTGGATGTAACAGTGATGGCGTTGATCGCGGTATTTGTCCTACTGGAGGCGGATTTCTGCGAGGCCAGAAAAGCTTGAGTGCCTTCATTTCTTCGTGTATGCATCACGAACTGTCACCGATTAGGAAATAGTTGGTACTAATTTTAAGCGTCATTCATTGTGTCGTGTTTCGCGACGCAGTATGGAAAATTACAGCATTTCAGAATACTATCGAAGAGTAAATTCCTTGCAAGAAATTGATAAACCAAACGTCTAAAAATACATCCGATGCCTCCTCTAATGAAAAGTGAAAATATTTTGAGAATGCCTCCAGTCCATCATCTTTTGAGTTTTTCTTTGGAAAGTATTCCGTGGAGATATCTATTTGGGCTTCTCAAAGAAGTTTATGACCAGAACCGTATTTTTGATTCGCGGAAACGTAGCCAGGAATTTTTTAAAGGGTCGAGGGTCTTAATCTTCAGAAATGTCTGTATAAAAGGAATCTTAGGAATTACGGAGAATCACCTTTTTAGGAGAGAGAGAAGCTTTACTACGTTCGCATTAGAGAAGCGCTCAGCGGTTTTCTATGTAGGCGCGTTTATAAAAGCTCTGAGGAAGATGAGCACCGTTTGAGATTAAAGAACTCGCTCACCAAAATTTCAACTAACAATTTTGGGAAAAGTACACTACCTACGGTTGAAAAATAAATTTTAGAGCAATGATTATCGTCCTCCGTGCTTTGACATCAGGAACATTGAATAAGGGTATTACGGATTAATCTAACACTGGAAAAAAAACTCATTGGATCTAGAGTCCAGACTCCTGAAAACATTGACAAGAAAAAGGAATCTTGATTCAATCAGATTTAAGCTTAAATAAAAAGGAAATATCTGCTCAAATTAAGAGGATTGGTTCTTGATTTAAGCTTACATCTAATTGAATCAAGAGTATTTTTTCTTGTCGATGTTTTTAATAGTCTGGACTCTAGATCCAATGTGTTTTTTTTTTCCAGTAAAATATGTTAGGCTCCTCTCCACCATCTTGTTGTTGAGCTGGTGTGCCATGGTACATACCACTAGCATACTAGAATTCTAGAGGCAGGTTGAAATAAAAAAGCTATCCCTACCGCCTGAGCGCTGAAAATCAGGTTATAAAACCCCACTCAAAAAACAAAGATATTTCATTTTGACTTTGGAATCCGCCCCTCCGAGTATTTTGACATCAGAGACTCTATATTCCCCGAAGATTGTCTCCATTACGATTGATATTTGACAACGACTCGGCCAGAATTTCAGATTGTCGTCGACAGCGACAGCGATTGACATACGAAAACGAGGAAGGCTCATTTGATAAGTGGGTCTCATTTTCGTACGGGGCACGACCATGACGTCTAACGTTTACCTCCTCGGCAAATTGGTCGTTGGATACGCGGATTCCAGCCAACAATTTTTCGACTGAGTAATCAACCATCCCGCGATGCCCCCGTCATAATTACGCACGGCGGTGAAAGGGGCCGCAAAATCAGGGCTCCGAAAAAGCATCGTTTTTCGAACGTAAAAATGTAACTACATTACAACGCTGGAAAATTGCCATCCGCAAATGAGACCGAGTTCATAAGAAAGGAACCAATCTACGTTTTCGAAAAAATTGAGTTAAGAATGTTTTCGAGAGCCACTAGCCGTATGTTTTCTCCCGCCAAAAACTGAAAGTTGAAAAACAGAAATTAGTTTGTGAAAAGTGGGGCTACAGTTCATTTTCTATATTGAGCCTTATGCAGGAATAAAACTTCAAACATCTTTTTCTCAGTTTCAACTTATAATGTAGGTTGGTTCCTTGCTAATGAACTCGGTCCGACTGTACCTTTACAGGAAGAATATTGAGAATCTGACTGAAAACTTGACCGATTTCTCCTCTGATCGTATACGGAAATTGGCAAAATTTTGGACAAAAATAGCGCTATCCCGTCCTTTTAAAAACATTAAATTGCCTCGTTAAATTTTGCAATCTTGGAATGAAGATGTGTTCCTTCGTCACGACGGAACCTCCTCGCTCGAATTTTGACAGACGTAGACGTTTCTAAAATGACAATGAGGCGGTCCTCTCAGGAAATTAAAATCACGGAAGTACCCGGAAAACAAAATTTGGAGACCCAGCTTTTCGAGATGAAGCAAACAATTCCCCTTTCTACCCTATCTTTCTCTTTCTTTCCCCCTCCGCTTAATTTGTCGTAATTTTCTGATTTGTGGGATAAAAGAAATGACAAATGTCTCCCCCCTTTTTTTAGAGGATAATGATAGGATGAGAGGCGACCACCCCTCGTCCTTTTTGAAGTCTGTGGAAATAAATTGGAGCCTTTTTCAAGGTAGTCTCTCCTTGCCCTTGGAATGCTTTCTTTTCGGTTGTTCAACTTCAATCAATACTATTTAATTCAAACGGATTCCGCGTTGATTAATTTTACTCTCATGTTTACTTTTTTCAACCATGCTCATTTTAATGGGCTTATTTAGGGACTATTCTCGTTCAAAAGATAATGCTAATTTCCAAAGAAATTCCATTGACTTTCAAAATGCGTCCCCTAGTTTAAGCTACTACTTCGCACCTAAAAATGCACTTTACCTCATTTAGCCAGCGCTTCCATTGAAGCCTGTCCCACTCGGACTGGAAACCAAGAAAGATAGGGCGACTCCCGGAGATGCGAATGACTTTCTTATTGCACTTCAATTCTCGGAATACTTCAATTTGAGATTTACTTAGGTTCACCGTTTCAAGCTCAGCGTTACTGTATGGAGCTGAAAAAGTTCAAAAAGCATTAGCCGCGTCAAAGTTTTGGTGCCAATTTGGGAACTGTCAACATAAACTTCAATATAGAGAAATAAAAAATTAAACAAGAGTCGAGACATTTAAACAGAACCAGATGCGTGGTTTGGTAATTTCAGCGTCGATACATCATTACCCACACACTGAAAAAAATGGCATGCTGTTTCAGCAAAACTAGGATGTCAAAAATGTGTCTGGTGATCCTAAGATGCTGCCTTGATTGCCCACGCTATTGAATTTGCATTTACAGGATGTAAAGTTAACTGCGGAGGCAGTAAAGGCAGCATCTTGGGATCACCAGACACATTTTTGACATCCTAGATGCTAAAACAGCATATTATTTTTTTCAGTGCATACTCTGAGAAAGACTGCAAAATATCGCCACTTAAAAAACACTCCCATCCGTTATCAAGAGTGGTCTCTTTTTTGGCGGAAAATTCAATTTTTGAAAATCGATCTCCAAGGTCGATTTCAAATTTCACGCCCGTCGAATTCAACCCTGTGAGAACCTCCTGAATAGAACTTAATTCGTTCCATTTTTAAAGACGTAAATTCTTTTCGCACTGAATTCGTGTTTTAAGCTCACAGCGGAAGCTTCTTTTTGATAACGCCCGAGGATTTAAACTTATCTCGAGCTTCCTTCTTACTTGTGCGCCTTCCCCCTCTCAACCCCGTCTCTCTCTCATCAAAGTAACTTCGCAAAGTTTCTGCCCACTCGATCATTTACCAGTGGCGTGTTGCGCTTTGCGATATATCGATTTATCTGCTATTTAAACCTACGGTAAAAGATCGGCAAACAGGGTGTTCGGAACGAACACCTTAATAATCGATTCTTTACCATAGCTTCAAATGGGAAAGTATCGATGGTCGATCATTCACGCCTCGCCACAGTCATTTACACGCTTCCCTGCGTTCAAGTAGGACTTCGGATTATGCTTTTCATAAAAAAGGAGATATCACTCTGGATGCACCCTCTATTTCTGCGTCTTTTTGTTACGATGGATTACTTCTGTTTATACCGGATTCCTGTATAAACAGACTTGTAATCGGTCTGAGGCTTCTGAGCACGAGAAAATTTGTGTAATCAAATACCTACATTAAACAATCTTCCTATTTTATGTAATCGCGGGGATGATAACACGAAGGTATTTCCGTCCAATTTATCGTCAATCTTTTTCTTTGTTTTCAAATACCATAGTCTTAAAAATTGGAGGGTATGGATTCAATCGATATGAACGATCGTCATTGATTCGACATGAATCGATCGAAAAATAAAATTTGAACCGATCAACCACGGGTTTGTCGATCAACTCACGGATCTGTCGATCGACTCGCAGGTTTTTTCGATCGATTCACGAATCTGTTGACCGATTTACAGTTCTGTCGATCTATCAACGGGTTGTTCTATCGACTCACGGGTTTTGTCGATCGATTCATGGGTTTTCCGATCGATTCACGGCTGTTGATCGGATCGGTGTTGATAGATTCACGTTTTTATAGTCCGATCGTTTCATGCTGCCAATCGAATCCATACCCCACGACAATTACACCTATAAATAAAATAGTCGAAGTGTGTATTATTTTTAAAAAAATAACGTATCAGCAACTTATAACATGACTTTATAGTATAGGTGACTCTATCTATCTATGACTCTATCACTTATGATGTTGCTGGACTGTGCTTTTTCAAAAGTCGTCATAATTTGTTAACGTGTATGCAAAAATATGTTATCAATATTATACAGTGTATGCACAGATCATGTAAACATATCTCTTTTGGGTGAATTTAAGTCCAGTTAGAGAGAAAATTGAAACGCCTGACGGAAAAAAGTCACGCAAAACATATAAGAGAATTGGCGCATTACTAGCATAAATACACAGATGAAAGTCGTATTTGTTACCATATTAATGAACAATGGTACCATACAGAGGTTAGTCTAGTTTTTGATCAGTATTATGATGAACATATTTTCAAAATATTCGTAATTAAATATGTCATAATTTCATAAAATAAATTCATATAAACTTTACCTGGGTAGAGAAAAAGATTTTCTCCAATTATCACCAAATCTCGAAGTTTCCACTGGGGTAAAACAAGGCCTTTCAGTATATGAACTTGCCCACTCCGCATATTTTTCTCTTGGCAAGTTGGACCTAAGTGCAAAAATAACTCTTAAATTAACACATAAACGTGAGTTGAATTACATAGTTTGAAAGTAAAATCCTCACCCCCAGAAAATGGCATATTAGAGTAGGTTGAATACAGGTTAACTTTTCTGTGCCTCGCAACACGTTGTATCGATTGCTGAACACTTGTTGCTACCGCGTAAGAGGCGCCTTCATTTCGTACGGTGGAGAGCTGTAGGGCGCATGCATAAGATGCTGCCTATCTTCTTATTGAAGGCGACTTGTGAAAGTGACTCAAATGCTAACCACATGGTATGGCGCATACATGCATCAGCTTGTACATTATTCGTAAATATTAGAGGCTACTAGATTGTTTGTTTTATTTCCCACAGTCTATTGAATAGTAGAGGCATTTAATATTTTCCAAAAGTATGTATGCACCAAATTTCTTTTTTGTATAATTGCAGAATCTTTTAGTGCACATGCAATTAAAAAATGGCCGAGGAAATGGATGAACCAATAAACAGGGGAAAAGGTAAAACACTTTGATGTATGATTCTGCATTAATTCTCACGCAGAGCACAAATGCCATTTTGGAAATTTTCAAAATGAATTCAAGAAAGAGCAATCGTTGCTTTCACTTTAGAAGCGCTCTCGTTTAGTGTTAATACTTACTTTTCTGTGTAGCGTTTATTTGCACTAGAATTATTCAATCTATTATTCGGCTCGATGAAGAAGAGCCAGAACCAACATTATGAATCAAATTAGACATTTAAAACTGACTTATGCATTCAACGAATAACTTTGCCTTTGGTTTCGTAAAAAAAAAAAAAAAAAAAAAAAAAAAAAAAAAAAAAATCATCTCTTTAATAACACAACTCTTTGAACTAGTCCAAAAAAACCTATATTACTACATTCAATTTCCACTCCTAGTAATTTTTTTCCTTTTAGGCCACGCTAATATTATTTCTTCTCTCAGTTGATTTCGAATAGTTTTTTTTCTTCCTAGCAAAAATTTTGAATAGATGAATACTGGAAACAATTACTCTCACACTTGAAAGTTTTAGAACTTTCATGTGTGCCCACGGATATTACGTGAAACTTCTATTAGGATGAATATATTAAGATACTAAACTCTGCCGTGCCAAATATAAACGCCGTATGAACCTTCAGTCGTCGCCATATCAGTGGTGATGGGGGGAAAAAAAAGTACGTACTGGGAAAATCCGAAATATTCTTCTCCCAACTTTTCAGGCAATTTTCTCGCATTTAATCTAGAATATCTTAAAAACAAAACAAGGTAAAATATGCATAACTTCACTCAAAAATAAATCTTTTGTCGTGGAAAATTTGGCAACGTTTGAATGCTCGTACGACGTTCTTCCTTCGTATGAAAGAATTTTCTCTGAGGTCCTCCGTTTATGTATCATCTGTGTTAATACTGTTGATATCAAAAGGGTCTCTCTCCAGTAATGCATAAAACAAAGCGCTATATTGGGGTTGGTGCATGCTTTTAGCAGCAATTTAACCGCTCACCGGACCTACCTATGTGAAACTTTATTAAGTACTTCAGATTGATGTCCACACCGAGGCGGTCTCGTCTTGAGGGGTCAGAATAGCCGATCTGACGCAAAAATTCGTCTTGAATTATCAGCGGGTTTTCGTCCGATTTCAAACGCCTTTCTTCAGCGCCTCCGTACTATCAACAGAAACCAAGAGCGTAGTTCATTGAGAGGTTTTGGTGAGTGTAACACGAAAAATATTTTAAAATTATTTAACCCTCTATGGCATAGTGTTACTTATTCGTAACAACGCATTAAATGTTTTTTTTAAAAAAACCCAACTACTTTTCCGTGGCAGAATTTTTCAAATTTCAGTGAATTTTTTCTTCTTTTGAAAAATTTATCACCAAAATTTTGAAATTCTGTGAAAAAATTTGAGACTCAAAGCTACAACATGGATTTTGGTCCTCCAGAATCCAAAACCGGAAATTAATTCATGCCATAGAGGATTAAGTTCTAAGGAAATATTTTAGAAACAATACTTAAATCATAAGTGGAAAACAGATGATTGCACACAGCATGCAATAGAATTATGTTATGCCGGTTTTATATTTGAGATTTGCAAAATCATGTTCTACAATATAAAATCAAAATAACGCGAATCATATAACACATGACGCCTGAGGCGCGAAGCGTATCAGGGGGATGGATCGCGTAGCGGTATATTGTAAAAATCAGCCGGAAAGCGAGGTTGACAATTTTCACCCCGATAATGAAAGTAGGAAATCAGAAAATGGATGGTTATCAAAATAAATGGCGTCAATCGAAAAATGTCGCATTCAGGTCTCTACAAAATTAATTTCATCAGTAAAGCCGGACATTTACTGTGCATTAATATGGGAAATTGCAAAATCACGTATCTCAGTTTGCGACGTTGCAAACTTCCTTTCATATTTTATTTTTTCTTTGGAAATCTTGTCAACGACGTCGTCTTGTCAACGAATTTAGAAATCTGCCATGATTTTCCCACTCTATTGGCAGAATATTCTGTATAGAATTTAATCTACATATAAAGGCTCATTTTCCTTCGAAAGAAAAAAATTGGAGCGGAAATTTTGAAACACCACAAGGGAGATACCAGGTTTCGCACTTTGGTCATCGATTAGTTTCTTTACGCGAGTTGTTGATGGGACAAAAGTGCCTGAATCATATATGCCTCAAAAAGACGAATGACACAATCCTCTGAGTTTTACTGAGATACCACTAGCATCTTCAAGGAACTAAAAGTTTTTTTGTTTACTTTTTAAACGTTTGACTGAGATAAAATTTTGAAGAGTCAAACAACTTACTTAAAAATACGTTGGGGTTACTTGTGAAGGACGGAATGTTAGTAAAAGTTTGAAACGTTCTGATTGTAGTCATTCATTTTTTTCCGATGAAACTAATACTTGCAGATCAAAAAGGAACCTCGAACTATTAAATACATTCTTATTCACATTCATTATGTGCAGTTCTTGTGAATAGAGATTCGTTAAAATGCCTCACGTGCTCTTTTTGAAGATCATCATCCGGTCTGGAGCTGTCATCATTTAAATAAAGGATCATGAATAAGGGTGTAGAAAAAAAAACTCCCCCTTATGTTGAACACAAAAGTTTGGAGCAACCATGCGCTCAATTTGTGTGTCTTCTTAACCGCTTTCAATCGCTACCTCATCGAAAACTATTCAGTTTCCAAACTTACAACTGTTGGTACGATATCAATTGCAAATATAATTCACAACATAACCTCAACCAAACACACTACTTAGCCTAACCTAACTTGTAACTTGGTCAAATGAACCAGTGGCATGACGTGTTTTGCGATATATCGATTGATCGGTCATTTGAACCTATGGAAAAGTATCGATGAACAGGGTGTTCGCAGCGAACACCTTAATAATCGATTATTTACCACAGCTTCAAATGGGAAAATATCGATAGATCGCATAGCACGCCACGCCACTGAAATGAACAGTAGTCCGCCTCATTGCTGTAAAGCAATGTGGCTTTAGAGAAGTATCAAAAACCTTTATTGAGCTTGAAATTGTGAGTCAATCTCAAATGCATTCTGTGCGATTGTATAAATATCGTCAATATCGGTAGGAAATAGGTCCAGGGACCGGCCGATTTCGTAAAAATGAGCACATCCAATGCACTTTAATTTTATGATCATGATATTTTTATCCTAATTTGTCAACTCTCGGGCCCTTCCCTTCTTTAATACAACTTCTCAGAGAGTGTTTTGAACCCTCGACCAAGCTATTTTGACTGAAATCTGAGCAAAATCATGGAACTGTCAAGCTCCTATCCGAATCCCTTTAGCCAAAGATTAGGCCCTTACACCCCCCCCCCCCCATCACCTCTTTATCCCAGCGGTAAGGCCTTCATCCCTCCAATATCCCCCTCCTCCTAGTACATACAAAAAGAGTGGAAACTTTTGAAAATTTATCTTCCTTATTTCAAATTCAATTTAATGCTACTACAACTAGTGAAGTTGTTAGATTTTTAAAACGTGAAAAATCACGGAGGCCCTGAAGAACAGTCTCTACATATCACTTGATGATTCATACCACCTTGGTGGAAAAAAACTCAGGTATAGCTCAAAGGGCATATACCCATTATACGGCTTTCGTTGTAAAAGCCTTGAGAGCTACAAGCGTAGTATAATCAGGTGTCGTATTGTGTGTAAGATTTTTTCCACCGAGTTGGTTTGCATTGACGTGCTGGCGAGAAGGCTCCTTTGCAGGGCAGCCGTGATTTTTCTCGAATCAAAGCGTTATGGTGCGGTTGCCCTCTGCTTGACGAACACTCGTTATATTTAGTGAAGAAATAAAATCTGCAGTGCAATAAATATGGTTTTGAATGCCGACAGGAAAAATTCGAAGCAGCTGTCAAAACCGCAAGAGAATTGTTATTTTTTGCCCCTTTTTCACAGCAAATGAGATTTTGATGCACACGCAGACATTTCAGCAGTTAAATTCATGGAATAAAAAAAACAGGTGTTTGGTTCCAGCGTTCGGATGTTGGAGAGCGTTCACCGCATGAACCTTTGACATGAATCCTGTTGACCTTTTGAACTTTTTGTGGCTGTCAAAATTCAGACAATCCAACATGCAAAAAATCACTCGAAACCTGGTGGCAGGCATTTTTTACTGTTTATAGCAATGTCATAATGTACTCAAGGTGTATCATGTTCATCATAACTAGACGTGAGTCTGCCAAACGGAACTATGTGCATTAAGACATGAGCCCTGAGACCCATAAGAATATATGCATACCAAGGCTCACGTCACAATGCACATAGTTTTGTTTGGCAGAAGTATGTACGTCCGTATAGACTCCGATTGACGCGCAACCGACGACGGTGCTATGGAGTCGAATCACAAGTTGCAGCCGTGCGATTTTTCATTTGACATTTCAGCACGAACGGTAAAATTTTACCCAGCAACGACTTACAATACTCATTCCTTCGACGATATCATGGAGTGATATATGGACGTATGTCTGTCAAACGGAACTATGTGCGTAAAGACATGAGCCCTGATACCCATAAGATTATGTGCATAACAGGGCTCAACGTCATAATGCACATAGTTCTGTTTCATAGAAATACGTCCATATAGGGTTCATGTTATATAGTGAATAGGTACTTTGTCCATCACAAAGTTTGAGCAAAATTTTTAAACGTGAGCTGGAATTTAACAAAAAAAATATATAATTAAGTTCAACAGTTTTGGTTTGGGAATAAATTGTTTAAAATAAAATGAAAATTAATGGCGATTTTATGATTAAAAAATGTCTGCATCGTGTGGAGCCAATTTCGAACCAATTTAAAACGTGGTTCTGCACCCAGCATTTTGGTGTCGTAGCTGTGACCCGGGTCAGTGGCGTAGACAGGGGAGGGGGGGTCGGGTTGGTCCAGGGGGTCTGCCCCCTTCCCTTTAGCCTCGTTAATGTCCTGAATCAGAGGTTTTTATTAAATAAACACTGAATAGCATACCTTCACCCAAATGGTGTAATGGTCGTTGATGGACATATCCTTGCAAATCTGCCGGACGTCCGATTCGTGGTCAATGTAAACAAGGTTGCCGCTGGATGATGAGTCATCGCAGTCGTAGAGTCGGACCCAGCCGAACTTCTCGCCAACTTGAATCGTGGTTTCCTTCACCATGATTCCTGATTTGCGGAAACTACGACGATGAGAAGAATCTGTAGGGATCCTATTTATCCCTTGTTCTATGGTTTACTCCCATTGCGGAGACACCTTCACTCATCCTTGATCCTGAAACCAGGCGGTTCTACGCCTGAAACCAGTAAGTTAAAACACAATAAGGATTCCACTTCGCAAAATTTTCGTGTCCTCACAGGGCACTAATCATCAAGAAAATAAAATAGATACAAAGTTCTTTTTGACATAAAAACGCTAACGGCGCACTGTGGATCCAGTCAATTAGAGAGGTCGGACATGAAATTTTTGACAAAAACTGCAAATGTCAACACATTTTAAAGTTCTAGGGGTGATAATGGAAGAAAATTCCACGAGAAAACCAATGGAACCACTTGCAGAACATCAGATTCTTGTATAAACGGAGTTGTAAGCGTGTAACTTTCCAAATTTTGTCCGACCTCTCTCATTGACTCGATTCACCGTGCGGCGTCTGACCGCTATGTTTAACGGACGAACAGTACCTTTATATGGAGAGTATGGACATCAGGTTACTTGAAAAATACCAGTTCAAACTTTTTGAGAGTCCTCAGCCTAAATGTAATTTATAAAATTTAACCTAGCTTTCCTCAAAATCACAAAAATGTTAAACCTATCTCCTTCACCCACCGTAGAGTCCCTTTATACTGAGAGTCAAGACAATGTGAATCCATTTCTGATTGGTTCCCGTATTTTAGGCCTTCACAGTGTTACAAACGGGAATAAAGATTACAGTTTCACCGATTGCAAAGATTATAATCTGGAATGGACCAGGGAATTACGGGTTCGGCAAGGAACAAACGGAATGAGGGAAGGAACGAAGAAAGGAATTCGAGAATGGGCCGATCAAAGATTACGAAAAACGTTCAATTTCTGTAATCTTTATTCCCGTTTGTGACTCCATGAGGGGTGTTGTCTTGACTCTCAGTATAAAGGGACTCTAATCCACCGGAGGCTTTTATCCTACGAAAGTTTCATAAAAAATCGTAAGATCTAGAAGCAGAGGATCGTGGCGTGCAGAACGGAAAAACGGAAAATCGTTGTACCCCAACTTGAACTGAGGAATAAATTCAGTTCAAGGTCTCTCCATCCTGTGCTTAAATCGCCAGTTACTCCGCGAGGTCGTCAAATTGGTTTTTAAAATCGCGGATTTGCCGAGAGCGCCTTGACGGAAAATCATAATCTCCGATCCAATCTGGCTAAAATTATCCTGGAGTTGGGCACCTGCAGGACGTTGCTGGAGAGGAAGAAAGAACCGAGTCTCCAACTCGCGTAGACCGATCTAATTAGTGATTCATCGAGGAGGATCCCTCAGGTGTAATTAACTTCCCCTCGCGGCGAGCATCAATTCTGATTTTTTCTCAGGACTCACTCACATATCGTGCTAGGTAAAAACGCAGTATGAAACTTTAGGCGTTGCCAAATTTCAATTGATAAAACATGAATTTCCTGGTAAACTTACGAATATTTTTCTTCCAATTTTTCAGACAATTTTGTTCCCAATTTCATCTAAAATATCGGACAATTTTTAGGAAAAATATTCATAACTTTCTTCAAAAATACATGTTTTATTCAGGGAAATTTGGCAACTCTCGAATGCTCATACGGTGTTCTTCCTTTGCACGGCTGCATACACTACCATGCTTAGGAAAAACGCTGTACGAGCCCTCAAGAGTTGCCGCATTTTCCCCGAAGAAACATACATCTCTGAGGAAAGTTATGAATATTTTCCCTTAAAATTTTAACATACCTTAAATCCAACTGCGAATGAAGTCCTCTAAAAAATTGGAAGAAAAATAACCAAAAGTTTCTCTGAAAATGTGTACATATTATCAAAGGAAATTTAACAACGCCTGAAGGCTCTTACGGCATTCCTCCCTCGCACAGCACCTCAAATTGGTAAACATGCCGAATTACCGTGTAATTAGAGGATTTTTCATTACTCAGAATTGAATTCTCGGGGCACCCGAGGATTTAATTTTCAGTAATCGCGGTTTTTTATCAGAGAGTCGATTAAAAACTGTCTCATGAAACTCAGGAAATGACATAATTGAATAGAACTGTCAATTAATAATAATTCGTCCTTTCCCAAGATGAAACAGCGTAACTACATTCCAAAGTTGCACAAATTTCATCCGTAAATTACTCTTTCCTTACGAAACGGCCGTGAATTTCTAACTGAAAATTTCAATGATTTCTCTCTCAAGCACACGCAGAAGTGGAAAAAATTCAAGACAGATACTGCACAGTCATATTCTGGCAAAACATCGAATTGTTTGAGTTCATTTTGCAACTTTTAAATGGAGTTACGTCCCTTCGTCTGGGAAAAGACGATTTTCCTTCACAATCATTTTGAAAATATATTTTAATTTTTAAAGGTTACGCAGTTCTTCAAATTTTGGATCAAAGATTGTATGTGAGGCAAAAGAAGGGCCTGATGAGGATGCGTAGTCGCGTCCAACCGCCCATGTCAGCGCCTCAGGCCGCTTTGAAAGTCGATTATTTGGTCGACGAATTCGTCGCCTAACTGACATAAGGGCGTAACTACACTCTGCAATGATCTCTGCCCTCCATACAAGTCAATGCTTTTTCGGGCTCATATCAATGTGTAGTTACGCCCTTATGTCATCCAAGCGACGAATTAGAGTAGATATAAAGATATTTTACACTTTTATGGCGCTCACTTTCACGCTTTAAGATTTAAGTGCTCTCTAGACCTGTAGGGTTGCTTCGTCAAAAGGATGAATGTGACAGGAGGTACCTAATGGAGACGGGCCTGAACGCAACGAACGATACTTCTGAATACCAATAGCTGCCAGATGGTATGTTAGGTTAGGTTAGAAATTATAGATCTCCGAGCCATTTTTTATGGGTCTCAGAGTCATACCTTTTTTTGAGTGTATCACGTGTCTCAAAAATTGGATGCTTTTATATCAAAAGGAACTATATCCATTGTGACATGCACCCTGTCATGCACGTATTCTAATGGATCGCATGGGCCATGTCTGACTGAATATAGTTCCTTTTCATTGAGATACGTCCGATTCATACTCTTGCTCTCGCAATATCATCGGCAAGCGAGCGGTTCTGCTCAGCAGCACCGAGAGTATCCCCACAGTTTGTAAGTATTTACTCATTAATTTCAAGAAATTAATTAATAAGCAAATAATAGTGAAGAAAAGATGATACGGATATCTCAAAAAATTTTCATATGAAAATGTATAATGTTGAGCAGTATTATACTGCCTGGAGAAGAAAAACGTGAAAAACTTACATGTGACTGAGCCAAATATTCCATTCCACACAATAGTATTCTTTGCCTTTTATTCTCAAATCCCTGTGTCAAGCTCACGACTTATCCATATATTTTCAAAATTTAGTGAAGCGGTGAATTAAAGCACTTTCCGTTAGTAAAAAGATTGATTAACACTATCTCAGGGCAACATTCTGAATTCGCCACCAAAAAACACGCCGAAATCAACTTTAACATACCAAAAAAGAGACAAAGCAGGGATTGAGGAAAATCGTTTCCACATTAGTGTTGATTAGTGAATCTGCTGCGACTCTCATAATTTGTTAATTTATGTGTTCACAATTAACGACGCATTTGTTTGCCTACTTGAGCATGTTTGACAAATAAAGATTATTATTCTTATTTATTATTATTATTAATAATGCATTAATTTATTGTTAAGTTGGCGGAATAACAAACATTCCGAAACAGATTCATTTTACTGGACATTTAGTGCAGGCAATATTCAGAGGAATAAATACATGCTCAAATACCGGCATAGGATATAATCGTGTGTGGGAGCTAAACCGGTTCGTTTGAATTGCCTTTTTACACGGAATTCATAGTACACTTATTCCTTCCAAAATACGGAAAACTTCAGTGGCAATGACAAGCACATGGTGTAACGTGCGATGGAGTAAATAAATAGCGCTGTTAGATCACTCACAGAGCGGCATCGCGGAGAGGGAGTAACGAACTGGAGGTTCACGGTCAGGGAGCGTAAGGGTGCAAACAACAATGAAAACAGAGCGGGGGTAAGGGAGGCGGGAGGAGAGGAGGGGGCGCGGGGCCCCTGCCCCAACATGTGTCAAGTGCACATAGAACATACGTACATACCTACGTAGGACTCAAATCCACCGGAAGTTGTGCAGGTGTTGCTAACGAGTCCGGCTCCCAAAGCGAGGCTCATCGCGATCCGAGCTGCGTGTCCGCGGTAGCCGCCGTCCCTGGCTCCGGCTCCCTCTGCCCCCCCCCCCCCCCCCCCCNCCGGGGCCCGTCCAGTCGTCAAAGCGGAAGGAGGCGCTACCGTTTTTTGGGCGCGCTTCGATGTGCCCCGTAATTGGTCTGCTCCGTATGATCGGGATTTCAATGGATCATAGACTCCGTCCCCATCCCGCTATTAGAGAGGAGTTCATTCCGCTGCGAAATGACATCCGTGCGGTCAAAAAGGGTCCTCAGATTGAAATGAGTCGTCGATATATTTGTTGTTATATTTATATTATTATGTTTATATTTGTTAACTTGCTGCGCCTTCACGTTTTCACTTGTGTTTAGTGAGTAATTGTTGAAACGCGTCTTTGCTCACTCATGATGAGCGACCGATTCATCAATAGCCGCGGAGACTTTAACGCAAGGCTAGAAAAGTAAGCGATACGTTCCAAAGAGGAGGGGCGTAATGGAGCTCTTGCATGTGTCAAGAATTTGCAATTTAAGTACTCTACCTCACGTAAAGTTTCGCGAGAATTACGATGGTGTGACTTGTTTTCTCTAAAATCAACCTCAAAGCTAAAAAAAAGCTCTCAAAGTTGAGGCCTTAATGGAGGGGATACCCCACATTACCCTGAGAGTCCACCTCTTTATCAAGACAAACTCTCTATGTGGAGCCAGGGATTGCAAATAAAATCACAGGGTTGCCAATTTATTTGGGGACTCCAAAACTGAAAACGCTTCTATCCTGCTAATGTATTTGCGCCTTATCTTGGCATAGAGAGTTTGACTAGACATAGAGGTGGACTCTCAGAGTTGCGTGAGATATCCCTGCCATTACGGCCTCAACTTTGAAAGCTTTTTTTTAGCTATATGGTTGATTTTAGAGAAAACCAGTGGCACCATCGTGTTTCTCACGAAATATTACGTGAATAAAAGTACATAAACCGCAAAACCTTTACGCATGCAAGATCTCCATTGCGATACATAACCCTTTGAGGGACGGTGTGAGAGGTAAAAAACTAGTGAATCGACACATTGACCAAAAACATATCAAGGAGAAAAATTATCTAGATCCTTGAAAGGGTGCTAATAATATGCAGAATTTGGTATCGAGGAAGTGAAGATCGCTCAACATGATGACACTTCAAAGCGAATATTTACTTTTGAAAGTTAACAAACGGTTAAGTAAAAAAGTAAGATGAAACATTAACCCTGGGTCATCAGTTTGTTCTCGTCAATGTTTTCACTTAACGGGGCATCTTTAATCACCGACATTGATGGAGATTAAAGTACAAAAGTACACAGCCATTGTTTAAACATGAAACTGAATTATACCACTATTCAACCTCTGATGTGCGCTTGTTGCATAACCGACTAATTGAAGGAACTTTAGTCCCCCTAAAACTTTAGCATACCTACAACCTATTTAAGTGTGTTTTACGTCTGACTTTTTTGAACAAAACAGCAACTTTTGTCCAAAAGTTCTTTCAATACTGAAATTGGGTATAAAACTCACTACTTCGCCAAATGTTAAACATTCCTCCTGAGATTCGAAGTTATTAAAAATTACCACCATTCAGTGAGTATAATTACGATCCTACCTGATTTTAAACAGAAGCTAACTTTTTGATTCGGAGGTGGGTAATCCTCAAGCATCGGAAAAAGTTTTGATGTGTTACGAATAATTACATTTAAAAAACGATAGAAAGTCTACGGCTAAATTCTAAAAAAAGCATGTATGTGCTTGTGAAATTTGATAAAAAAAATGGTGCTTTCCTTTTCCCCTCGAAAATCCAGTAGGTCTAAGGGTTTAGACGCTAAAAAGTATGGATGAACAAAATTTTAAAAAAAAAACTTAACCTACATTTTTATTAAAAAACATGTAAATTTCAAAAATAGAGAGCTGTAACAATTTTTGTTTGAAACAAAAACATGACTCATGATAAAAATTTTGATTAAAACGTCTTGAGCCTTAAAAATAATAAATACACGGGATGGCAAATCTTTAAAATATCACTGATAGGAGAATCATACAATAGCACCGAGCCTAAATCGTGAAAAGACTTGATCATATGCTTGCACACACACAGTGTAGCTTCAAGAATCTATAGTAACAGCTCAAAAAATTCGGCCACACACTCTTACGAGCGTTCTGTGCATTAGGACTCGGTGCCAAAACATAATTTTTTCCTTGGCGTTTCATAGTTCATTAAATTTAAGCATTATCACAGACGGTTCCTTTTATGGCTTCAGCAACTGAGGCCGTGAGAACTCTGAAGTTCACATCTTTGTAGTCCAATTGTTTGTAAATATACTGAGGGAGACGGTCAGAGACAACCCAGAGGTTTCCGTTCTTGTCCACCTGAAACAAATTTTTGAACGAATATTAATGATGGTAGATAAATCAATCCTTCGAAGAACTCCTCCATAAAATTCATTCAATAAAATTTTGCAAAGGTAACGCTTACTTTCATTCAAAATCATGCTTCTTTTTTATAGTACATTTCGATTAAAATTTAATTTCAACAAGTTGCCAACACTGTTAATGAACTCCATTTAAATACATCGATTTTGACAAGGCAGACTGCCTTGCCTGGAATCGATTCTGTAACAAACAGGTACATTTCAATGGAAAAAACAGTGTTGCCAACTTACATGAATTGCTACTGCCCCTACTTCTTTTTCACATTTCGCTCTACCATTTTACCGGACCGATTTTCATGATTTTTAAGGCTATCGACAGGTGACAGGCCCTAAACCAGCCCGCTTTATCGAGATTCTGAAAACATGACCCATATTATTGTACTTCACGTGATAAAGTTTCAAATTATCCCAATTAGACAAAGTAAATGCTCGTTGTTTGAAAACATGACCCATATTATTGTACTTCACGTGATAAAGTTGCAAATTATCCCAATTAGACAAAGTGAATGCTCGTTCTTTGTCAAAGTTCGTTTTAAAAATCTACCGGGGCTAATTTTCATAATTTTTGTGACCATCGATAGAATACAGTTCCTAGACGAGCTCGCTCAATTTAGATAAACTCATGTCAAGGGCCTGCAGAACAGACTTTGGGAGGCGCGAGGCGCTTTTTGGGGGTTGGGTCACGTAGCGGCAAGGGAGTTTGATTTCAATCCTATGCATACCTTGAGATCGTTGGGGAAGATAAGTGTTTCGTTGTCAGCGGCGATGATTCCGTTGGTGTCGGCGGAATACTCATCAGCATGTCTGACGGAGTTCCAGCATCCGATGGCATCTTTGTTGACCTGCGTGTAGACGAGGACCCCGGTTTTCTCGTCCAGGGAGGAGGCTGTGGCTTGAGAGTTCGGACCTCTGGATCCCAATATTTTATATTCGTGGTAACTGTCAGCGTTCGTTTTGTTCTGCAAAACCTGTAGGAATAAAAGTCGCATTAGAGAAAGCCTGAAAACTTGTGCTGTGTTGATAGAGTGGTTTTCCAGAGACTAGCGGCGGGTATGTTGCTGCCGGACCACCTTCACGTAGGCAATTTGTAATACATCGTCCGTCCGCAATACTCTCGCCTGGCCGTATGAAAACGTTCCTCGCATGCGCAGTGTTAAAGAAGCGCCCTCCAACGCTTTGGCGTTGGAACTGCTTGTTTTTGATTCTTTTTAAAGAAAAAAAATCGTCTTCAATGATATGGCATAGTCCCTCTTTATAAATACATACACACATAACGAATACTCGCGGATTATTTTGACGTATTTCTACCAAACGGAACTATGTGCATTAAGACATGAGCAGTGGGACCCATAAGAATATATGTATATCAGGGCTCACGCCATAATGCACATAGTTCCGTCTGGCAGAAATACGTCCATTTATAAATAAAAAATCTTGTGAGAGAAAAATTTGTGAAATGAATAGTTGATATTGATTACTGAAATGCGGAACCACGTATCTCCGTATGCGACGTTGCAGAATTCCTACCGTACATCATTTTTCCTTTGAAAAACGATAGTAAAATATTTCGTGCACAACGTCTGGATTCCTCTTTTCTATCAGCAGAGTATTCTGTGCGAATATATTCAATCTGTATAGTAGGTTTCTTTTCTTCCAAAAGATAAAATAGGAGCGAAAATTTCAAAACATCGCAATGGAAGTACGTGGTTTCGAATTTTGACCATTGATATACACTGGAGAAAAAACACATTGTATCTAGAGTCCAGACTCTTGAAAACATTGACAAGAAAAAATACTTTTGATTCAATCAGATTTAAGCTTAAATCAAAAGAAAATCCGCTCAAATTAAGAGCATTGGTTCTTGATTTAAGCAAAAATCTGATTGAATCAAGAGTATTTTTTCTTGCCGATGTTTTTAAGAGTCTGGACTCTAGATCCAATGTGTTTTTCCTCCAGTGTACAACGTGTACAACGTGTACAACGTGTACAGTGTTCCTAAAATAAATGGCGGTGATATTGTTCGTTAATAATTTGAAAAATAAATTATTTACCCTTGTGGAGACAGCGAATTCTCTAGTACTAGAGAGGGGATGGAAGTAAAGGGTCCGGTGTCCCTCCTTGGGGGCAGGCGAGAGGGCGATGCCGAAGATACCGTCGTTCCACTGGAAGTTGACTCCTCCGATGTGGTAGTCCCCGGACAGGGGGTCGAAGTGGAAGTAGTGGTGGTCGATCCTCCAGGAGTCCTTGTTCTTCATGTCGTAGACGATGAGTCCGTAGGCCATGAGGTCGGTGACGTAGGCGAAGGGCTTGTCGCAGGTCTCCGGGGTGACATCGACGATGATGTTGGCCAGGAAGGTGTTCTCTTTGAGGTGCTCCTTCTTCACCTCGTACTCGTCGATGAGCTTGTCGGTCTTGAGGTCGTAGACGAGGATCCTGGGGGCTTTGATGTGCTTGTGCTCGCCGAGGATGTCGACCAGCCCGGTGTCCACCATCCAGAGTCGGTCGCAGACGTCCACGTTCAGACGGAACACGGAAACAATCTTCGAGCCGTTCGTCTCCAAGTCGTGAGTTTCCCAGTCCGGGTACGGGATCAGTTTCGGCGACTTGTCTCCGCTTGCGTCTGGTGGAGAATCGATGAGATTAAATGGTGCTGACGTCATGAAAAATTTCTACACGTACTGGTAAAAAACACATTGGATCTAGAGTCCAGACTCTTAAAAACATCGACAAGAAAAAGTACTTTTGATTCAATCAGAATCTAGCTTGAATCAAGAACCAAACCTCTTGATTTAAGCGGATTTCGTTTTGATTCAAGCAAAAATCCGATTGAATCAAGAGTATTTTTTCTTGTCGATGTTTTCAAGAGTCTGGACTCCAGATCCAATGTGTTTTTTTTCCAGTGCGGTAGTGCCGGGATCACACGCTGAATATGGGAGTCGACAATCATCACTCAAAAGATGAAATTTCGTAAATTCGAGTTATTTTTATCAAGATTTGTAGCAAATCTGTTCGAAAAGTTCAGACAAAGAGAGGACTGCTGAGCTTCAATCCTTATTGGTGCCTTGAATTTTCCGCGTTGCTCGCAAAATTCAGGCATCGGAAAGATGACCTTCACATTTGGCCCCTGAAATTCAGCGTGTGATTCCGGCATATGAAAAAGTTACCTATATATTGTGTTCGATGGCCAACGTGTGAAACCACGTATATCCGTTTATGAAATTGCAGACTTCCCGTTATGCTTCATTTTTTCTTTAGGAAACTACAGTCAACGCAATTTTTTGAGCTCTTTACTGATTTTTCTCCTCCGTCACCAGCATATTCTATGAAAATTTCAAGGTATAAGGTAGGTTTTTTCTCTTTGAGAACACAAAATAGGAGCGGTTTGGAAACACCATAATGGAGATACCCGGTTTCGCACTTTGGTCATCGATATGAAGTAGTAAAGAGGAACCTAAACATGCGGTTCATATTCTATGGTTAGTTTCTCTTCGGGTTACATTGATCAAATTTTCGGGTCGAAAATTTGCAGCCGCTTTAAAAAGCCGGCAGGTGCCGTCAAACCTGGATCGCATTGGTGATAGTCCATGCGCCTGTCATTTGCAACACACAACCTCTTAATAACATCGAGAGAAATTACATTCGTTCAGCAGGACACTACCTTCATCCCCAGATGTTTCAGAGTAACCTCCGGTCTCGGCCAATTTAACTAAAAATTTGGTCGATCAACCAAGTACTCTTGGATGATCTGACTGAAAGAAATAACTCAAACTAGCCATAAACATGGAAATGTTTAATTGTGTGGGAAGCTGCAACGATGTTTGTGCAGGTAACGAACACTTAATACATGACGTTTTTTTTTCTCGAGTTCTACGTGGACCTCACAAAGGTGGTTTTCCTTGAAACGCATTGGATTGGTTGATGATGCGTGTAATGGAAATTCACTACACAGGACTTGTATATTGAGTTTTTCTCCTCAAAACTTCACAAGGAAATGATTCAAGTGACGGCAAGTCCGAAACTTGATTCCTACGGAAGGTGTAAGTCCTTGCCGAGAGTTACTGCAAATGCAAAGGTTTCGCTGCTTGACAAACTGCCAATTACTGTGCATCGATTTAATTATTAAATAATGCAACTAAGACACATGCATGTCGGGAAATCTTAAGGAACTAGTATTATCAGCTCGCCAAGTCGTTACTCCTCTCGCGTAGGGTAGTATGTAATAAGTAGTATGTGTTTCCGCATGAGTTCCGAAAAGCAGAGAGCTATACGGAGAACACGGCTCACGTGGAAATCGACTTACAACCTTACGTCAGAGGAGCGACGAAGTGAGCCATTTACAATGGCTCGCAAGAAATTCCCTCCCATATAGTCTTTGTAAGAACTGAATGCACATCTAGGTCCAGGGCCGGATTAAAGGGGTGGCCACATGGGCAGCGGCCCATGGCGGCAAAGTGTAGGGGGCGGCAAATTTTTCAATCTTTTTGAATGTAAGTATCAAAAAAAGAGAGAGAAAAATCGGATTCAGAGAATAAATTTCAAACGAGAAAAGGCGACAAAATCTCTCATTTCTTGAGAGTGAAAGTATAGTAATTTCTAATTTTGTCGTCTTTCGGTGATACAATAGACAACACCTTTAATTAGTCAAGTTAAGAGAGAAACCAAACACGCAATTTGACCTGGAACGGAGCGGTGCGGTGGTCGGCATGAAACGCATAGCGCCTGCAAGACTGCATGAATACTTCACGCATTGCGTCCAACACACGGCGACGGTCAGCAGCAGTCGGCCTGAAACGCGTAGCGCCTACAAGACTGCGTGAATACCTCACGCATTACGCCAAACAGTTTGGTCAGCAGCGGTCGGCCAGAAACGTATAGCGCCTACAAGACTGCATGAATACTTCACGCATTGCGCCAACACGGTGCTGTCGGGCAGCGGCGGAAGTTAAAATTATTAACCACGTTTATGCTTGTTCTCTCATAATTTTTTCGTTCGTCTTTTGTAAATGGAAGGCCTTGTCCAAACAGCAGCCGGATTGTTGAAACTTTAACTGGCTATGTTGGCACGACAAGAGAAGACATGGCCCTATCTGCGCCGTGTAACATATCGATTTTTGATTCTTGTCGTGCCGACATAAATTTCAACAATCAGGCTGCAGGGATGGATTTACGGAACTGAACTTTTGTTAGTGTTGACAGGGCTTTCACAAAAAATGTGGCCAACACGAGTAAACGCGTCTCATACACCCCTTCTCCACCGGCACGTTCACTTGATGGTTTTTATAGATCGTATTCGACAGATCACACAGGTGAGATTATATTGATATCGAATGGTTCAATATGTAACCACAGCCGCAAAGGTCAATTTAGAAATCTGAGATAACGGGTCTTATGTGATCGAATTGTTATTCTCTCGAGTACCAAATGGCAATGAAAGGTGGAATTGTTGGGAATTTTATCATTTTCAACTTTTCCGAATTAAATCCTAAAATTTTTGTTTGAGGTTATGTTCTATTGTTTTGAACTAAACGATACATCGAACCACTTTCGAATACGATCTATTGATGTTTCAAAACGAATGAGAAGGGGGTGGAAAAATACAGGCGGCCCATGGGCGGCAAATAGGTAAATCCGGCCCTGTCTAGGTCGAGTTCTATAGATACAACTATTTCAGCGCAAGTAGAAGTTACTAGCAGTTCCTAAGTCAAATTGATAAATTCATTGCGTCCACTAAGTGATGGGTAGGGGTTATTCCCTAAAATTGTGGTAGTATCTCAAGTCTTTGGAAAATTCAGATATTTCCAATTAATTGTGGTAGTATCTCAATTTGTTGGATAATCCGGATATTTCCAATAAATTGTGGTAGTACCGCAACGATTGGGCTAGTGACCTAAATTATTGGGGTACTATCACAATTCATTAGAGTACTACAAAAATTAATTGTAAAAGTCCATATCATCCAACAACCCACACCTCTTTATTCTCCTTGCTCCCTCACTTCCCCCTCTTTCTTTCCAATACGTGAAAATTAGTCTGTTGAGAAGAACATTGATTTTTACCATCCAAATTGATGTAAGTAAGAGTTGCAGGGATGCCAGGCTTCCACCTGGGGAGTGTGATGAATAGCTTGTTCTTCCAGACCTCCACGCCGAGAGGCAAACTGTTCTCCTGGACGAAGGAGCCAGATTTGAGCGCTCCTTGACGGACAGTATCGTTCGGGTACTGGAAATCGACGACCTTCCAGCTGTAAGCTTCTTTCAGCTGATAGGAGCTCGACTCGATGGCCGCGACCACCAAGAGTAGGAAAGTCGCGACTACTAAGCCGCTGAGTCTCTCCATTTTGACGCCTCTGAAAAATGAATGACAAGGAGGTCTTAATAAAACAGAAGACCCCTATTCAAAGTAGCGATTTTGCTAACCAAACATAACTTTTTTCTTCTTTTTGTCCCTGTCAGAGGCGGATCTAGTAATTTGGCAACACCGGATTTCCTCCATTTAAAGCTATGCTAAATAATCGATTCCTGTCGGAGAACTTGGCCCCTCCAAGGATCGATACATTTCCATAGGTTCGAATGGAGAGAAGGCAATGTTTCCGATTTGCTAGATCCACCAATGGTCCCTGTTAGTTTAATGGATTACATCCCAGCGGGGTTTACAGCTAAACAAAGATTACTTTAGAAGCAGGGGGAAAAGATTGGACGAAAGTCACATCAACCTGTATGCATCAATCATCGGTTGGCCTATTGGTTTCCACATACATTTTCGTTGAATAGTGACACTTTGTGATGTGACGTGACATTTGTTCAACATTTTCCTTCCACAGTTCTAATAGTGGTTTTTTTTTACTATCCGTTGCACTTTTAAAATCAATTTTCATGCCGGAGGAAAAATAAAATCGTCCCACAAGTCACCAGAAAATTCGTTTTTCCTGGTCTTACCTACTTTTTTGGGGGTTAAAAACAGTCAAGTCGGGGATACAGAATAACAATCCGGCATCAAGAAGATTTTTCGCCAGGAATTTTTCATCGCGATTCGTACATATTAATGTCCGGGATCCATTCACCGGTTCGATGTCACACAATAGCCGGGACTTCATAGAAAGTAAATCGAAGAAAATGAAAAGAATGACACTCTCTTGGAGCAGCACGTGCATTATTTTCGTCTTTTAATTTTTTCTCCGGGTGTAAATTTACAAACGTACTCACATAATACGACTAGGTAAATAAAATACTGACGATAAAACAAGAGGATTTCGCTTAAAAAAGAGGCTAAAATTAAGAGCTCCACCACCATCACCACGCCCATGGTATACTAAATTATTTATTTCACCCGGTGAAGGTCGTATACGCGGATTTCCGTATAAGAATTGGACGTATTTGTGCTAAAAGGAACTATGTCACATGCAATCCCTATACACATAGTTCCTTTTAGCATAAAAACGTCCAATTATTGTATGCAAGTATACGTAAGTACTTGGAGAATTTTATATATTAGTTCGCAGGGTCCTACCCTTTGGAATTTAGTGAATTTTCACAATCCCTTGGAGAGCTTTGACTGTGCTTTTTCCAAATACTATGAGCTTGTGTGTAACCATTTATAAACATTAGAGTTTTCCTGACAACTTAACTAGATTATTAGAATTGCGTAAAATTAGACGCAAGGACATGACGATTGTTAACTTTCCCTGACGTGGATTTAAATATAATCGAATGTCAAAGTGTATTCAGTGTTTAATGTTATGTGATTACTTCCTTACATGTGCTATACATGATAACTGAGGATTGACCATATGCCACTCTCAGAATAATAGCGGAGGCTCACTCATTAGCAACGTCAACTCGGAAAATTGCCGCCGCAAGAGAGATGCTGACGCAAATTGAATTTCCCCAGCTTTTTCAATGCATAAAACCTCCGTCGACCATTCTCTGTTTCACAAATCATGATGTATGTCTATTTGAACTTATCATAACTTCTCACCAAACAAGATCATTATTAAAAAATATGTATTGTACCGAGATTCTCGTTCCACTGATTAACCTATCCACTCATATGATCGTTCTAGAATGAATGCATCAGCGCACTTTCTACTACCAACTTCGGTTGCAACTTTTATGTACCTGTCCTTTGGGGTAAAACATTAGTCCCCGAGCACGTAAATTTTACACTTTCAAGGACGTGATTTTCACGTCCGCGAAGTCGTAAAATTCACGTCCCCGGAGGCGTAAAATTCACGTCCCTGAAGTCGTAAAATTCACGTCCTCGAAGGCGTAAAATTCACGTCCCTGAAGTCGTAAAATTCACGTCCTCGAAGTCGTAAAATTCACTTCCTCGAAGTCGTAAAATTCACGTCCCCGAAGTCGTAAAATCTACGTCCCCAACGAAGTGTAATTTACACTTTCAAAGACGTAAATTTTACGACCCCGAAGACTTAAAATTTACGACAGGCAGAATGTAAAATCCACATCCTCAGGGGTGTAAATTTCACGTCCAGGGACGTAAATTTTACGTCCTCAATGGTCAAAGAAACATCTAATAGATGTGTAAATTAACATCCACTGAAGCTGTAAAAGTAACGCATGCCGTCCTGGCACATTTTTTTAACAACCTTGGGTCGTAAAATCAGCGGTGTCAGTTGTTAGCGTAACACTTCTTTTTTTTTTCGGTGTGGCGCTCGATGGAGGCTTTCGCTCTAAGTTTCTTAAAAAATGAATTTTTACGAAATGAAATGTATCTAAATCAATCCTCAGGGAAATCATGAATAGATCTTTACTTTATAGGACAAACGGCAAGTAATAATTAAAATCAAAATAAGATGTCTAAGATAACTACCGTGCTTCAGAAAACGTGTTGTATTGAAATAAAAATAATAAATATATCATCCACCTGAGTCTTTCAGGCAAAGTATCAGACAAATAAGCCAAAGACCATCTGGTCGAAGAAGTGAGTACTTTAAATTGTTGCAAATCATGGTTCCTTATAAACACCTCCTTTTCATTTTAATCAAAAAACCTTTTTAGAGTTCATCCTGACCCTCACCGACATGCTCTTGAAAAATAAAGTAAACTAACACCGCGTGGAAAAACGATTCAAAGGTTGAGTCCCAGCAGGCATCACTTAAATTTTGGGTAGATACGAGCCCTACCCTCACACGGCTAGACACCGCAATTTTGGCAAGGCTGATAGAAGCGATACCCACCAAGAATCAAGGTGATGCGATTTGACCTGCCCTTCATGGCACGAGCACTAAACCGTTTAATCTGAGCGGTTTTCCATTGAATTTCTCATTTCACAGGATGCACATCTCGATTTATTTGCTTGCGCCACGACGTGCTTCCTGCGTTTTGTAGTTGTCGTAGTTGCAAAATCTAATTACATGGATACTGAAAGAGAGGTGATGCGTGGATGGAACCATGACGATCGTTGTCCCAGTGAGTGTTCCACGCAGTAACACTCGTTTACGTGCTTCTGAGCATCTCCCGTCTCAAGGATGAATGAACCTACATCGAGCATCGTGAGCCACTCATTAGTGTAGCAACTACATTGTATACATGCTAATGCAGCGTTCAAGTGTTGGACTGACCTTTTCACGGCCTGAATTATCTCACTCATCTCGCCCATTTGATGCATGGTCGAACTGCGGCCGCCGCGCCAGGGCTAATGTTTCGTTAGTCGTAGCGCATTCACTTGCTCCTAATCTCTGTGGTCTTATCTCATAGCAGTATTTGCACAATTTGATTCAAATTTTGACTCAGATCCTTTGTCTGCAATGAAGGTGTCTAAAAAAGTTGCATTTAAGATGATGGAATATAATCGGGCTTCTTCTCCCCCTATACATATGGACCATGCTGCTCTTTTAAAAATTTGCCAATAGTCCATGCTTTGATCATCTAGGTTACTGATAAGAACTTGAACCAAACAAGGGGACTCGAAATTCAACCTTCAGAGATAATATTAAAAGTTTGAGTTAAACTTTCAAGAAATAGACAAAGCTATAGACAAAAATGGAGCAATCCCATTTCTGCGAATTGTTGATGACTTGAACGAGAGAGTAGGAAAGTATAGGGATGTTGAGATTTGATCTCAGTATTCAACCACGTGGATTAAACAATTTTTGATGCCTACACTGGAAAAAAACACATTGGATCTAGAGTCCAGACTCTTGAAAACATTGACAAGAAAAAATACTCTTGATTCAAATCAGATTTAAGCTTAAATCAAAAGGAAATCCGCTCAAATTAAGAGGCTTGGTTCTTGATTTAAGCAAAAATCCGATTGAATCAAGAGTATTCTTTCTTGTCTTTTTTTTAAGAGTCTGGACTCTAGATCCAATGTGTTTTTTTTTCAGTGTATGTACCATTCGATAAAAAACTAGCGTAAGATCGTTACATATCCCTAAAATTGACCCCTTCCTCCAGCTACCCACGTAACACGGTTAAAAGGTGACTTGAGCGACTGAATTGGACAGCAGTATGGCCAGGAATCATCCATCCTCTTTTAAGTCGTTGAATCGCATTCAATCGCGTAAAAAATTTCGATCCCATAAAAATCGTGCATCTTTACAATGGGTAAATTGGCAGCCCACTGCAAATTCTGCATGGGGCTGTGGATCGATTCATACACCAAAAAATTTTTTTTAATGAAAAAAAGGTACTCAGTGCCAAAAATTGCATTCGATTGAAAAATGCAAACTTCATTTTAAGACTCTAAGTTGGGTTCAGATCGGCGGGGTAGTTAAGCTCATCGCGTGCCAAAGCGTGAAATATTTGGGGAGGGAGCTTCAAGTCATCGTAGCTAGCCGCACAAATTCTTATTTTACTATTTACAAAAAAGAATCGCAAAGTTTGAAAATTTCGAAGCGAATATGTTTTGAGAAGAACCTAGCTCACACAAAAATAAAATAGGCATATATTGATACAGTGTTTCAAATAGGCATACCACAAGATAATCTATTCCTACGGCAAAAAGGTGAAGTCGATACTATAGCCCTGGCTGGCTCGTTTTATCAATACTATATCTCACAAACAGAGAAGAAAAAATGCACGGATAAAAAACCCAGCTATGAGTTTTCCCTCGGCCGAGTTAGATCCTACCCCTTTTATAGGCACACATTTTAAATCAGACACTACAAAAAACTTCATGAATAAACTTCAGCCTAGAGGCTTCATTACTTCGCCCGCTTTCCAATACGTTGAAATTTTCAAAACAAGGTAACACGGATGCCAGTGATGCACAGTAATGTAGTGCCACGAAACCACATATTACTGCGGTATTTTTTACATCTTATTTTCTAATTTTCACCTTATTATTTACTTCTCATTTTCACACCTCGATTTACTATTTTTTTCAAGGAATATCAAAATTTTCATTGAAAAGTAATGAGGTACTTGCATCAGAAGTATAAACGGAAAAATTTCTGCAACATCTTACATTTAACGCTTAAGAACCATCAAGCATTCCAATTAATTTATCTACGAACCCGATCATTGTTTATTTTTTTAAAATATCTTTTTATTGTTGTAAATTGTACCCCAGAGAGTTTATATCTAGTTATAATTTTAGTTATTATTTCATTGTGAAGGTTTTTTACCCAATCTTGAGTTTTTTTAGTTATTGTATCTATTAGGCTCGTTATCAATTCTTATATACCATGTGCTTAGGTAAAGTTAAGGGATCCAGGAGATGGACCCCTCCCTATTCCTTTATTTGTCAGAAGGGTGAAAGAGAAATAGACGGCGAAAAAAAGTGAAAATAAAACGTTTTTGCCAAGTTTGGTCTGAATTTGTCCTCATTGCTCAGGCTGTTTAGATCGCTGCCTCTTTTGAAAGCCTACGCATGTCTAAGCCATGCGTAAATCTGTTTCCACAAATAAATCACTATACCTAAATTTTTTCCCTCTTTCTCTTTTGATTACGCTATTTGGCAAGGTCTGGAGTTACATTGCAGAATTTCAAATAATTAGTCTGAAAATACGCACAGTTTACTAATTGTATCACTTATATTTTATCAGTATCATGCTAAACGTGACTCGGTCCAACAAGCCAAAATGAATAAAAAGCGTTGAGATAGTCAGGTACAAAAATATACAGAACAAAATTATAACAATTTCTCTCAGTTACTCGCATCTGATGGCTTTTAACCGGGACACGTTTCGGAGATCGTAGCTCCATCTTCAGCCAGTTTAAGCGAACTCGCTCAAAACTCCGAAACACGTGCTGGGATAAAACCCAGTAATATCACGCCGAAAAGAGAATTCTCTGTTGAAAATAAAAAACAACACTCCGCCAGGGCGATGTCTGCTTTTCAATAGCATAGATGTCTGAGGTGCTAAGGAACAATAACACATAACTGACAATTTCAGCGAAAACGAGTTCGCGACTTTGCCGCATTCTGTAGTATAAAATACGCAAGCTGATGTTTTTAGTTCCTTCCGATTCCGCATCAAAGCGCTGTTAAGCGCTTATAATGAATCTAAAAATTGCAAATCAAACCAAAAAATTATAAAAATGGCCAAGTCTTATCTTCGACCTGCACTTGAAAAGAAAACCACATTGGATCTAGAGTCCAGACTCTTAAAAACATCGAAAAGAAAAAATACACTAGATTCAATCAGAATCTAGCGTAAATCTAGAACCAAGCCTTCTTAATTTAAGCGGATTTCCTTTTGATTTAAGCTTAAACCTGATTGAATCAAGAGTCCTTTTTCTTGTCAATGTTTTCAAGAGTCTGGGCTCTAGATCCAATGTGTTTTTTTTCCAGTGTGTAAAATCGTCAGTTTGCAGATTTGTTCCTTAGCCGTCGAAAAGTTAACAAGCAGTTCCAACGCCAAAGCGTTGGAGGGCGCTTCTTTAACACTGCGCATGCGAGGAACGTTTTCATACGGCCAAGCGAGAGTATTGCGGATGGACGATGTATAACAAATTGCCTACGTGAACGTGGTCCGGCAGCAACATACCCGCCGCTAGTCTCTGGAAAACAATAGAAAATAGTAGTTGCGTACGTTGCCAGCGAGCGCGCTGCGAGCGCATCTGTTTCAATTACCTAGCATCGAGTCGGGCCTCTAACTTTCTATTCTCTCTGACATAACCTTAAACTTTCAACCCAGAGCCGCAAACAGCTGACGCTTGACGATGCTGCGCCGAGAAAATGAACCAATCACAAAATAGCACAGTAATACGTCACTAAAATGAAGATATCACGTGACTGTTCGTGATTTTTTCGAATCAATCTGAAACTACAACCTCGAATATGAGGCATTTAAGCACAACGAAGCCCCAAAATAGTTTAACCAGGTAATACGTCCGTGCGAGATTGTTATGCTTAAAAGCAAAACATTTCACGAAAACTTTTACGAATACCAGATGCAGAAAAAAATCAAATTTTCCCGGGTGTACCAGAATGGCGTCATTACCCATAAGGCAAAACGGTATGTAGTATAGTACATGTTACATCGGGGGAGTCGAACGGCTGGAAAGGGCGCATCTGGTACCCAGAAGCGCCCAATACATGCAGTGAGAGGTATGAGGACTTGGGCCAAAACCCGACGGATACTCACGTTGAAAAAAAAAACCCGGCGTTGCAACACGAAAAAGAACTGAACCACTCGGTTCGGTTGACCAATCGAGTCAACCGGTCACATGTAACTGATCAACTTGTCGGCGGAGGGCGCACCGCGAGAGTGATAACAAAGACATACGGAGCAGCGGTCGCGACCGGTTGCGCGAACATTGGGTGGCGCCCCACTCACCCCCCCCCCCCNCCCCCCCCCATCGCTGCATCCCCCCCAGCGTGTCCTGCCCGTTTGGAATAAACGATGCGACAGCGCGCGCACCGGTGCGACGAGCGCCAACAACGGGGAACAACACTGAATTATATGACACGAGATTCGTAAACAAATCGACCAGAGGAACGTCCATGCACCTATTTTTGATCAGATATTTTTAGCTCGAAGGATATCATGGACGGGCCCATTGAGTGGACAGTGACTGATTATTCAAAATGTGCATGTATTTGGAAGATCATCTTCCTAAAAGGGGTGTGTGGTCACTGAACAATGCTCGAAACTCACCTTTGAGTTTTAGGAGCCATGTGGCGCATCAAGCCCGATTTTTAGGCGCCATCGAAGATTTTTTAGGGGCCAAATTGACTTTTTGCCTATATATCACGGCGCGTTTAGTGAGAAGTTAGACGCAAGATGTTCTCGTGACAGAACTAGTAAGTAGTTGTTACTTGGGGAAGACAAAAGCACAGATGATGAAATTGTGAAGAATAGAAAAAGCTTCCACTTGCGATGCTAAAAATTTGGAACAATCACCTAATATGAAAATTCAGATTTTTAGGGGTCAATTTTTAGGGGCCACATTGGCGCAGAGCCTTCAATTTTTAGGCGCCATGACCGATTTTTTTGGCGCATTTGACGCGTTGGCGCCTGTGAATTTTGACCACTGTCACTGAAGGATCCAATTCTGATTGGTTTAGCCATTTTAGGCTTCATGGAGCTCTCGGGATGAAAAAATCAGCGGAGGATCCATTGAGATGATTCAAAATGGTAGAAAAATGCATTTTATTTTCTTTAACACCACCGTGAACTTTATTCACATTGTGGAAGTTTGGAGACGGTTATAGGCGGAAACTCATGAAAAATAGCCACCCCTCACAATTTATAGCGCTATATCCAACCATGACCTGGAAAATATCGGAAACTTAAGTTAAAGGGGGATTATAGGGGGTTTAAGGAGGGAGACCTTTTTCTTTCTTTTTTTTACCGGAAAGACCTCAAATTACCGAAATTCCCCTTTAACTAGAGACGAGGGGGTGTGCCCGCCAGACCGCTTCGAAGTTCGCAACCACTGGAGGTTGTGGCATCCTGTATGTCAAAAGTCCTAAGCTATTGCACATAGGTCTTCCTTTCAAAATTCTCTATGCATTGTTTCTTCCGTTTGCTCAATTCAATCCAATTATGAATCGAGTCTCTCCATCTTTACACGAAGAATGAAAATGTGATGCATTGGCTCCGAAGTTGAGGTCATATGGATCTCTGAAGTTTTCGGATCTAGTGGCGAGGTGTGAATTATCGATTATCGATATTTCCCCATTTGAAAACATGGTAAAAAATCGATTATTAAGGTGTTCGTTGCGAAAGCCTTGTATATGGATCCTTTTCCATACTCTAAAAAAAACTCCGGCCGTGGAGGCCGTACTTACGGGCTACATAGACATGCCGTCCACGTTCCGGGCTCACAAGCCGAGAGTTACGGGGGTTGCACCCGGAGCAGTCGAAGCTACGACTCCAACACCCGGAACGTTCGACCTCCAAGCCCGAAACGTCAGTATAACGCGTAACTTCTTTTTCAATGTAGATTTAAATGGCAGATCAATCGATGTGCTGCATTGCACGCCACGCCATTGTTGGGATCGTGCATTAAAAACTTGAGGTTCGGCTGCCGAAGTTCAGGTCACCCATCCTAACCGAACCGGAACAAACAAAATGAATCGAAGTACTGAGGTGCTTCAGATGTGCGACCCGAACTTCGGCAGCTGAACCTCAAGTTTTCGGATGCACGATCCGATAACTTCAGAGATCCATATGACCTGAACTTCAGGTCCTACGCATGAAGTTTTTTTCTCCGTGAAGAGGCAATGGCAACAAGTCGAGGGGGTGGACAAAAATACGAGTGCCCAAGAAAGTGACATTATAGGGCCTAAAGAGAGGAACTAGGAGAGGAAATAAAAGAGAACGTAGAGAGGAGGAGAAGGAGGCAAGAGGAGAGGAGAGGTAAGAGAGCCGCCGGTGTTTATGAACCTGCCATCCAAGGTCGTCGCGTGTCGCTTCCATCCTTCACCATCCAAGTTTTATGTAATGAAGAGTTATGGTGCGCCGGGCCTGGGTCGGAGAGAAAGAGATGGTTTTAATCAGGAGCAAATTTGCATAACGCACTTTTTACACTCGATCGAGTTAAATCGATCGCTTCGCGGTGTTGCCGTGTCCTCTGAATAATGAATAAATAAAATAAATCACTCTGGATAATTTGAATTCATAAGTTGGCTGCCCTTTTGGGCCGTAGAATAGCTCCATGACCTAACCTTAAAATTGGCGACATGTCCGTACTTTCCCCACATGGGTACTCTCATTAAGTCCGAATAATGTAGTTTACTGTGGTATTGAGAGGAATAATTACCGACCAGCTATTTATTCAAAATATTTTCAGATACGCGTTGCGAAGTTAGTTCCCATAAAGAAGTAATTAGCTTTACATTGGTGTGTATCATATTTATATATAATGCCTCGTGTATATATATTATATATATATATATAAATAATATATTTTGCCGAAGTGCAAAACCACGTACCTCCATTGCGGTGTTTCACAATTTCTGATCCTATTTCATTCTTCCGAAAAAGAACAAGCCAACTTTATCGCTTAAAATTTTCGCAGAATATTTTGCTAACAAAGAAAAAAAGTCAAAGAAGTTTTTCAGAAATTGCGTTGAATAGTTTATCCCAGAGAAAAAGTAAAGTATGATAGGAAGTTTGCAACGTCGCAAACGGAGATACGTGTTTCCGCACTTCTTGCCGTCGATCAGTACCTTTTAGTAAAATAAACGTGCAGAAGTACTGAGCTATGAAACTCAACAAATGTCATTTTTTTATTTTGTCAAATTGAATCAGTTCAGGCTCAGCGCCGTGGCGTGCTTTGCGATACATCGATTGATCTGTCATTTAAACCTATGGAAAGGGATCGATAAACAGGGTGTTTGCGACGAACACCTTGATAATTGATTCTTCACCATAACTTCAAATGGGGAAATGTCGACAATTGAGCATTTACGCATCTCCACTAATTAGGTTATATTTGCAGAACAAGCCTGCCTGAACAAGCCTGAGGTTTGAATCGGCTTAAAGAAAAACTTTAGTTTTGTCCGAGAGATACTTTTTTGGGTGAAGAAGTTTACTTACTCAAATTTTTATATGATTTGCAACATTGAGTTCATGATTGTAAATTCTCTCCGAAGAGCTTGAAAAAATGTACATGCTGTATCTGTTCATACTTATCACAGGAGAGGGTTCCTCTGATGATTTCTAGGGGATTTGAATAGTTTGAATCTGAATTCATGAACGAAAATAAGTTCAATATACATTTACATTTTTAAAACCAGAAATAACTGATCTTACTTTCTTTTACAATGGAAATGCCGTTAGAAAATTTTAAAGTTCTGTTGAGATTTTTTATTCGATATTTTTTTTGTCATTGCCCATACTTTCATACCCAGTTCAGTGGGTAGGTTTGGGTTTACTGAATGCGTCGACGCACAAGTTTTGGTACCGCTCAGAATTTCTATTGAAATTTCCTTCTTTTACGAAAAGTATCTAACCCGAACTCAGGGTTTCCGTCGGTAAAATTTGATACGATGGAATTTTTTTCAACATCAAAGCAGTTCATTAGGATATTACGTCAAGAAAAATAAAAAAGCTTTCCTGTAAGACAGAAAAAAAACAAAAAAACAAAAAAAAACAAAAAAAAAAACAAATGAAATACGCTCGAGCAGAAATTCTGAGAATTCATAATACTTGATTTTCTTTTTATCCTTTTACTCTCATCTTTTTTTCCTCTTATTGAATGCGAATTCTTTCTCGACTTTATAGGTCAGTAGCACTCTCTGACGTACTGAAATGGAATCGTTCCACGTGTTTTTTACGTCAAAGATTATACACCTGAAACTGGGTAAAATCTTTTGTCACGAAAGTCGAAAACAACATGTTTCGAGCCACGGTTACTAAAAATCTTAAATTTTAAGGGTTACGCCCCCTGACCGCTATGTAGCTCAACACCCAGAGGACCACCTCGTGGGTCAAATTTCAAAAATTTAAATAGAGCGGGCTGATCTGGTGGATATATAGTAACTATCGATATCCGCAAAACTTATGGGATTTGACTCACAAATTGTAGATCTGTAGAATGAACTATGACAAAACGTGATAATTTGGGGAGTTGGATAGCTTACACACATGGTTCCCGCACAATAATGTCCCGCACAAATATTTTCATTCGTGGGTCAACCTCAAAGGCAGTTTGATTTCCGTTCCGAGTACCAGATTGAATTCGTTTCAAGTCTCGCAGTTTGAAAATTCAATCAATCTTGGTTGAGTAGTACCATGGATATATAAAAATGATCAAAATAAGAAGCGTGGTACTATACATGTTATCAATAATTTACTAACAAAGAAAGGTAATGTGTACAGCTGAAAACCCTTTCGACTCGTTTTAGAGCCTGCCTCAGAGCGAATAGAAAAGCCATTGGAATGGCTTAAACTTAGGAAAGGTTAAAACTTTCATACAGTTGTTCACCTATTTTTTTTTTAATACCATCATGTAGTTTCCTCTCTATAAATAGCTTTTCTATTCGCTCTAAGGATGGCTCTAAGACGAGTCGCAAAGGCTTTCAGCTGTACCCATTAACTATCTATGTAAGTAAATGATTGATAAAATGTACAGTAGCACGATTCTTCTTTTGATCATTGTTTCTCTTAGTTTGAGTTCCCATTCAAAGTCAATTCAAGCTGTGGCGTACAGTTGGCAACCCATGGAGATCACGTTCATCTGTAACACACGTTTGTCTGTAAGTGTCGACAACTCTTCGGTTTGATTGACTATTATTAATTGCGCGACGCTCAAGTCGGTCTAATTCAGTCCAAA